GATAGAATCATACCCTCCTTTTATCTCAAATTCATGTGTGAATTCAGAGTGGCAAATTTGACTTCATTTGGAGATGGGGTCTGTAAGACCGTAGCTAAGGTGCTAAGGTTAAAGGAAGTGATAGGATGATCATCTGACCAGATAGGACTTTTCCTTATGAGACACCACGGAATGCCCAGAAAAATTCAATTCAATTCTAGCGCTCTCTCTCTCTCTCTCTCTCTCTCTCTCTCTCTCTCTCTCTCTCTCTCTCTCTCTCTTTCTCTCTCTCTCTGTCTTTCATGTGGGACATAAAGAGAAGTGAGAAAGAAAGCAAACAGTCCCCATTTGATCTTCACATTTTCAGCTTCCACAACTTTAATACATTTCTGTTGTTTAAGCTACATTATTATGCTACCGTCTATGCTACACTGTTATGCAGCCTGAGTGCCCTAAGGCAGTCCAGTTCTCTGTGATTCTGGTTTGATGGTTTTTGTATGGTACGGGAATCTGTGATTTTAACCAAACTTAGGCTACACAGCTTGACCTGCCCTATTTAACGCAATGTATCCCTGCCCCATGCAATCTTATTCTCTGCTGGTTTTCAAGTTTTTGTCCTTCCTATGAGTGAAATGACCTCACAGAACGTGACAAGAGAAAATCTTGAATCCCAGTCATGTTACATGGACAGATTCTTTAACCTCTCTGAGCCTCATTTTCTTTATCTGTGAAATGGTGACAATGCAGGATTGTTATCTGAGAAACAAGTATTATATGCACAGTTTCTGACGTATAATAGAAGTTACTAGATGTCTATGTTCCTAGGCGTGATAACTCTTTAACAATTCTGGAGTTTGACTATTCAACATTATATTTCTTTATAGTAAAAATTCAACCTAGAGAGAAAGGGATTAGGAATCTGTTGTAATTCCTGAGGTTGTAATACCTGACACACCCAGAAATTGTTTTTTAATCTTTAGAAATGTGTCTAGAAGGTAAATGACAAACACTATTGCTTGTCACAATAAACAATCTCTTTGTTTAAAAGATTTATTATTTTAACATTTTATGCCACCTTTATTAAGCAAGAAGGTTACCTCCCCGATTTGGTTTCAGGGGAACAAGATGAAGGAAGTCAATTTCCATGGTTTTCATTCAACAACTTCTATGATTTATGGCATTTAAATTAAAAACCCTAGAGCCACTGATGTATAGAATGTCATTTGTAATGTTTTGCTTTTGAGTCTTAGTTAATTGTCTTGTCTGGTGGATGATTTTGTCACTGGATAGGGGGAACCCATGCTTTAGTAATAATTGAAATTGAAACTAAAGTGCAAATGTACAGGAGGAAACAAGACAACTTTAATTGGAAAATTAGAGGGAAGGTAGTAAAGGAATCCAATTCAGGTACCTGGAAGAGGAGCACTATTATACAGGCATTCGGAGTGGCAGCTGCTGGTGGGCTGCAGTCTGGCTCACTTATTTCACTTTTGGTAACGTAATTCTGGAATCTTTGTAACTTAGGGATGCGTTCATTTCTAGTAAAAGATTGTCTCTCCCTGAGGTGATCTCACTCATGTAAATATGATCACAGGATATGGCAGCAATGGCGGGAGGCCTCAGGGTATAGCTGAATGTTCCTGTAATCCTCTTATTCTGGTGTCCTCAGTCTTGAAGAGAAGGAGATCCTTTAAAACCAATGGTAAACAGTGTTGTCAAGCCAGGTCTTAAGCACACTCCCTAAATGATCAACACACTACTATGCATAGCTGAGAAGATATTCAACCCAAGAATATTGATAGCAAAGGATACATGAAATGAATGTCAATGTTTGTTCTGCTACTAAGTTACTAATTTTGGGCATCTTTAGGTTCAGATAAAGAATCATAGTTGATGAAAAAAATGGCTTTTAAATCCTTGTCTCAGAAAAAACAAAACAAAACAAAACAAAACAAAACAAAAAAACACAGATGCTTTTTAAAAAAACAGTAAGGAAGGGCCTAGAATTTTGCATATTGCTCATCCCTGTGGTGGTCCCTGCCTATTTTAAGATTGTGCTGATTCCTTCTATTACCATTTTGCCATAGACAAAAAGTAATTGTATTTGAATATTAGTCTTTTAAAGTGCTCTAGTCTTTCTCTTATCTTTATTTGTAGACTACCAGCCTCTGATATCATCCCAGTACTTTAATTTATTTTTCTATCAAGTAAAATATTTGACTTCCTTTTCAATTATTGCTTTGTTTTGAAGTTTCTAGCTCCTAGATCAAAACTTATTGTACAGAATTTAAATAAAAAATTTATATTTAGGCATTTTCATATTGCTGTCCAATGAAAACATTTGAAAGCAAGAAGAACTAAGTTCCATTTCCCTCTGCATCTCAGTTACCCTTTTCTATGTGTCCAGAAGAAGTCCTCACTAGAAAACCAATGGTGCACACAGAGTGATGAGCTCAAAGAACACTTAAGTTCCTGACTATAGTGGAGACGCATAAGACTTCATCAATGGTGTTTGGACAAAAATTGAATGTAGTACCTCAATGGATTGAGTGAATGATTTTCTAATGTGACAGAAAAATGGATCAAGAAGAGATTTTTTGTAACAAAGAGAATATGTGAAAAGAAATGGCTTGGCATTTTATTATGTCATTTTATATAGATTTGTGCCATAGAAAAATTCACTGTGCTTTCTTGTAGTTCTGATTTCAGTTTGATTGAAGGTAAATGGGAGCAAATTTCAGAAAGAACCTGCTAGAGGTTTCCTTTGAGGGCAGGGGATAGTTTTATTACTGCCTGTCAAGCCATCAGAACATTAAGACTTTTGTAATTATCAATTTTTAATATATAGTATCAAAACACATGAGCCAAAATTGATTGCTATTACCAGTGTCTACACTGAGAAATATTTTTGTGGAAAAGAAAACCTCTTACATACTAAAGCACTTTAATCTACTGACCAATACAGTGTATAAAAGATGAGTATGAGAGCTCTTTAAATAAAATTGCCATTGTTGACTAAAATTATTGACACCTTCCAATAACATAAATAGTTTTGCAGAATTGATATTTTGCAATTGCCATATGTTTCTGTATATCTACACATGAAAAGGCATAGTCTGGCCTTTATCCTCTCAAAACAGCAAAGCTTTTCCTCAACCTCTTTAAATATGAAATACATCTTCATTAATGCAACCAATTGAGTAATCGCTCTGCTTTAAGATGCTGTCATTGAGTCACAAATAATTAGTATGTAGCTTAGAAATTTGAAGTGAAAAATATGAATTACTTCATTTTTGCAAAGCAATCATTAATATTATGGGATCATTTATTTAATCAGGCTATTAACATCACAGATCAACAGTTATTTATATGGTAATGCATCAGCAAACTCAAAAATTGTATTTAAGGCAGTGATTTAATCACATTTTAATAGGAAGAAAATTGTAATGAGAAACTGTTCTGACAGAAACATTTTTAAAAATTAGGTTTTTTCTGGAAAATCTATATGAAGTGTATAACTTAACTTTTCAGAGACATTTCAAGTGCTATAAGTATTTTAATTCAAGATCCACAAGCCAACTGTATATGCCAGATACCTATGTAAGATTTAATATGTAACAATTCCTCACTGACAAATTTTCTTGTGTTGGAAAATAAAGTTAGTAAATATATGTATAGGAACTGGTGCAGTGAGAGCCTTAAGAAAGGAGAAAATTGACTGCCATTCACAAGAGGAGAGTTGGTATGTTTTTGGACAGCTCAGAAATAAAGTTCATCACATAGGTAACATTTGAAATGGGGCTTAATCTATTCCTAGGTACTTTTTGGCAGTTAAAATGAATATAAGGCCTAAGGAAATATTTCATTCTAGGAATATTTTCACCAGTGAGCAGATTTACTTTCCCCTCAATGGTATTCACATATTCTTCTAGAAACACAGTTACCCTTCAAATGAATTTTCCATATATACCCTTTGTATAAAACAGGTTGAGAAGAATAAAAAGTTAGAGGCCTGATTCTTCTATGTCCATTTCTGTTAACCTTTGCTCTCATTAATTCCTTTTATTGACCTGCAGGGACATGTGCTATAATGTCAAACAGCATATTCTGCATCAATTCTGCATTAATCATTGGAATGCATAACAACTATTACATTAATGGCAGAAATTACTGAAAATATAGTTGAAAGGAATCATCTTCAGTGATTTAAGTATGTGTCTGATGGATTCCACAATCCAATGTTTATCCTAAAGGAGGAAAGAGATAACTACACTAGAGAGTTAGGGCTAGAGCATACAGAAAGTCATGAACTTTTTATATTAGCTAAAGAGGAATTTTAAAAATAGGTAATATTGATGTAGAATATAAAATAACTAGGTATAGGGTGATGGAAACTATGACAGTCTGGTAATCTGGGACTTTAAATTCTTAGAATGCCAAACCTATATGTCTGGTTTTTCAGGTTATGTCTTATACAACCCAATGGGTTTTTATCTACAAGTGACCATGACTGTTTGAACAGCCTTGAAAAATGAAACAATGAAGAACAATTAAATTTCTTCTAGGCCAAGAATGATATAATCATTGCTGACTATTTAAAAAAATAATCTTACCATGGTTCATTAAATAACTCAAATCCCAGAATATAGAATATAATATCGCTGAAACTTTATGATCATTATACATTAGGTTTGTGATTTGTTTAGGAGGCAAACTATGAACGACTGCCACTTTTTTTTAAGTGAACAGAAGAATTGTACCTTGATAGAAATAGATAAGTCTTGTTTATCACAATTTGAACAAGATAAAATAATAGAATTGACTCTCTAATGGGGGCTGGGGATTTAGTTCAGCGGCATAAGCACCTGTCTTGCAAGCAGGCGGTCATGAGTTTGATCCCCGGTACCAATAAAAAAAAAGACTCTGTTGAAGATTTTAATTATTAAAAATAATTTTGTCATATGAAATTCATAGTTGGATTTAATTCTTCTAAGACCTTTTTGTGTTTTCTTCTTTTTCAGGCTGAAGTCATTGATGTGAGTTATGGAACTGCAGATGATTTAAAAAGGATTAAAAAAATGAAAAATATAACAAATCACATTGCACTCCTGAAATTAGGAAAATTACCACTACTTTATAAGGTTAGTCAAATGGTGTAAGGGTAAATATTTTCTTTGCTTTGTTAGACTTAAATGCTTGAGAGACAGAGAGAGAGAGAGAGAGAGAGAGAGAGAGAGAGAGAGAGAGAGAGAGAGAGAGAGAGAGAGGAGAGAGATGGGAGGCAGAATATGAGTGTCACAGAGAGAGGATCTTTTTTCAAAAATTGAATATTTTAAGGTAAGATTTTTAAGAAAAGTAAATTGATAGTCTTATTACTTAACATATGTGATACCTTAAGCAAGATATTCTCTGAGTTAAAGGGACCTTGATAAAGTTAGGATATTCTACATAATAGCATCTATCTGAAATACCACAAATGAGAACCACATGTTACCTTCTTATAATCTGTGTGAAACTTCTATTATCAAAACTGATTAACTTCCATGTGCTTTATGCTAGACAAGGAACTGACTAATTTATATGCCTTAGTGATTGGTTTTGCCAACTGTGTAACCTGCAGTTACTGAATATGCTTCAGAATTTAGTTACAATATAATAGGCTAAAAAGAAGCAAAAATTTTGATTCATTTTATTTAAATCCAAGTTTATTAACACTCATCCACTAGATGCATTTATATAATTAAAGCAGCTCAATCTAAATATCTGGTAATGAACCATCACAGACAGAAATTGCTGCTCATTCTTCTTCTTTTTTTTTCTGTTTAAATAATGTTAAGTGTATTCCATAGTTCTGAAGATAAATTGGATCTTTTTCTCACCTAATCTTAAAATAGACTTCCTAATTCCTAGGTCCAAAAATATTTCCAATATGTGTTGATTTACTTCCTTAGGAAAGAAAATACTATCTTGCATTTATTTCATTATTTCCCAAAGATGCGCTTACACTTACTTGCAATTGCAATTGTGTGTAACCGTGGATAACTGGTCAAGCTTTAATGATAGTTTTAAGGACATAATACAGAATAAATATTAATTTTGCTGTATTAAGTTTTCAATAAGTACTAAGTGCTTTTGAAGTAATCAAATTTTTGATTCAGCAGTTCTATTCAGTTAATGTATTTAAGGAGGGAATACAGTGATGATGATCAGTGATGTGAGAAAATATTAGAAAATATATATATTCCATTCAGTATTGAAGAATATGCTGTATGTATACTGTATAACCATTAAAGAATATTTAATAATATGAATGTCCTAAGCTAAACAAATAAGTTAAAAGATAACTTTTAATATTATCACGATAATGATTATATTTTTATAGCTGTAAATATTTTTATATGGTGTCACATCAATGTTGATGATAATCATATTTTGGGGGTAGAGATTATTATCTTCAATTTAAAGGTGAGATAACTAAGCAGTTGAAAGGCAGTGATCTTTTTAATGAAACCACCAGGGATTCATTGCAGATGGTCTACTCCTAGACCCTGAGTCTTTAAGGTGTGGTGATGGTGGTGGTGGTGGTGGTGGTGGTGGTGGTGGTGGTGTGTGTGTGTGTGTGTGTGCGCATGTGTACTGTTGTTCTTTTTATTGTAGTGAATCAAGGTAGATAAGTGAATGCTAAATAACAATTTTAATTGATATCCTAATTTAAAGAACAAGAATTTCAGAATTATGTACCAACTCTCAATATATCAAAGGGAAAAACAAAACATAGGTTAGAATGTTGTTTAGGCCCCTCCTGAATAGCTAGTGGATCTACTACTGCTGACTGGGACTTCATGGAATCACATGGAGGACTTAGTGTTTTCCTCTGTGGTGTAGAGGACATAGTACAGTACTCTTACTCTGAGAGAAGCTCAAAGGCAAGAGATAGACTCTTTAAGTAGTTAATAAATGTACAAAAAAGGTGTGTTTGTGTTGAGATTGGGAATAGGAAGATATGTATGTATTTCCCACAGACTAACACAGAGAGCAGTGTCATTTGCTTTCCTTTCTGCACTAGAGGTGCCATTAGGATGTTGATCTCAAAGTCAGTGACGGCCAGATTTCAAAAACATTTTCCAGATCAAAGAGACTGCAGCAGGGCTTTTTCAGTAGAACTCATAGTGCCCATGAGACCCAAAGGCAGCTTTTAACATCAGTGAGCCCTGGGAGATGTGAAGCTTTATTAGAGAAATGAAGTCAAATTTCATTTCAAGAGAGACAAATTCTATCCATGGAACCTCTAATGTTTAAACTTTCTCCAATACCAGAGAGGAAGATGTACAGTTAGTGCATGGGAAAAAAATAAAACCGACCACACCCCTTTCCAAAGCAGATCTGAACAGGTGGAAGGCTGGATGATGAGGTTTTACATCAAGGTTAGAGTTTGGATAATAATATGAGACTAGAGATCTTTAATTGCTTGAGACTGTTGAATCAAATTGATTATACACTTGTTATTACTAATATTCAAAAGAATAATGGGACAGTCCACGTTTTCCTCCAAATGTTTAAGTCAAAGTATTCTCATCTGAATATGTTTAAAAAGGTAATGTGGAACAAATTAACATTGCTTTGTGTTCATTATTTGAATCATTTTCATTCAGCTACCAATTACTAAAATGTGTGTGGCAGGGATGAATATATAGCTAGGTAGTTGGAATTATGGATGATTTTAACTCCTTCATTGTATTTATCCAAATTGCTAAAATGTTCTATAATGATTTCTGTATACTGTGTAAGCCACAAAAATGCCTTTAAAATCCAAGTTAAAATAAGATGAAGTATTTTTTTCTAATAGAGCAAATATGCAAAGTACTTCAAATCCTCGCCAGTATAATAGGTTAAACCTAAATAAGTATCTTTGTATATATTTCAGAGAATATTTACCTTATGATACTTTTGACATGTCTATAAATTAGTGATTTAGCGCTTTATCTGGAGTGGGGCACACTTATGAAGAACCTAGCACCATTTTCCCTGAGCATTTTCCTTTATGACTTGTGAACATATTTAACAAAAGATTCTATAGAGCATCTTCAAAAAACTTAGCATTATCGCTATCCAGGAGAGATAGTGAATCCTCTCTTTAGTGTTTTAAATTCCATTCTTGCCATGTCTGTTTTATGTGGATTGTCCAAGAGATTTGGGGAGAATTTGTTAATACTGAATCTATTACCTCACATTCATATAGGAAAGAGAAAGAAAACGTGGCTTAGGCATGATTTTACAGCATAATTACTGTTCAACTTGCTTCATTTGTCTGTCAAATACTTTGGGGGATGAAATTCCAAAGGTAATGGACTTTTAGAAGGTAGGGGACAGTTGATTTCTTTGTAGATTATAATTGTTAATCATAATTCTAAATTAACATTTGATTTAGAAGCCTGCAGCTCAGCAACTAAAGAGAAACATTAATCTTATTTTAGCTGTGAAACAGGTACTAAACTATTTTTCAAAACTGAATTTGAATGGTTCTGACTCACAGGGAAAGGCTTGGGTCTGGCTGTCCCCACAGAGACAGTGGCCTGAACATGGTGCTGGTTCAATAGGGAAGGCTTGCTTCTTGGTGAACTTTTGTTCTCTCCCTACCTCAGTCTGTGAATGGCGCTGACCCTTGGGAAAAGCCTTGGGTCTGGCTGTCCCTCTGTGGTGAGAACAAGGTTTCACCAAGAATGAAGCCCTCCCTGAGATCCAGTGTCATGCACAGTTCGCCTTCAGCAGGAGGACAGCCAGACTCTAACCCCTTCCAGCACACAGTCTGGCAAACAAGAGCCAGTCCCTCCCCACTAAGCAACCAGCTCAGTACTTTTTACACTTTACTTTGCGACAGAGTTTCCCTGGGTTGCAAAATTGCCTACTGTGAGCTTCACTTGTGATCTTTCTGCCTAAGCCTCCTACAGTGGTGGAGGCTTACCACCACACCTGGCATACACACACATATGTATCTCAGTTATGCCATTCATGCATAGAGAAAATGTACATCAAAACCATAAATGTTACTGCTATTTTATAAAAGAGTTGATGCGTATCACATTTCTAGTACTTTTATATAGGAAGATATTAATAAATATTTTTGAAGTAGTCTCATACATATTTTAAACTTACAATGGCAGTTTTTATAACCTCAGAACCAAATAATTTGTTACTTACTACAAGGAAATTCTTTTTATTTTTCATCAGATAAGATGCATATTTTAACATGGTAAGAAGCATGAAAGACAAAGCCCTTTTAATGCTCTACCTTGACGTGCACACACTGTCGTACACTGTGTAGCCAGTGTATGATTCACCTCCACTTAACCCCATCAATTGTCCTTAGACAGACAAGCCTTTGCAAAGAGCCTAGGGATCAAAGAGAAGTAAGAAACAATTCTGATGTGCTTCTTCTCTCAAAATATAGATTACGTCCTTCAATAATGGGGCTATTTAAGAAACAAAACCTTCATATTGTTTAAATTTAAAACTTGCATTAATTCACAAAATGGATTAAACTTAAAACATTTATGTGAAAATATGTATAGCTATTGGTGATAGTCAATACAAGGACAATTAAGTGAACTTTAAATCATCTGTTTAAGTAAGTAAAATTAATGCCTAGAAAAATTTCAGTATTTTGAAGACTAATTCCCATGAAATGTTTACATTCTTGTCCTTTGTGAACTATACCTCAAGGTTGATCACTCCAGCATTTCACCCTGAAAACATTTATTTTTACCTATGATATACACTCAAAGGATGATTGTTTTCTTTATTGCACTGATACAAACAATTAATGTTTTATTGGAAAGAATTTTAGAAATGATTAAACTCAAAATTAATTTATTTTTATTTCCCAAATTAAAATATGGATGCATGCATTTAATATGGATGAAAACTATGTGGTACTTAGTATAACAATGCATTTATACACAGAAATCAGGGCAAGGGATGTTCCTCAGGGGTAGAGCACTTTCCTAGAATGTATGAAGCCCTGGTTTCAATCCCTATTCTGATAAAAACAAGTCACATTTTTTAAAGATAAAGCACAAAGCGTGTCTATGTGTAATGATGTTATATCTGAGCACACCGTTATAGCTTCCTGTGTGATGTGGCA